CCCACATGGGAGACCCAGAAGAAGCTCCTGGCTCCTGGCTTCGGATTGGCACAGTTCCAGCTGTTGTGGCCAGTTGGGGAGTGAACCATTGGATGGACGACTTCTCTCTCTCTCTCTCTCTCTCTCTCTACCTCTCCTCCTTTCTCTGTGTAACTCTTTCAAGTAAAAATAAATAAATCTTTTTAAAAAAAGTCAAATACAAATCAGATAGGACTCAATCATTTATTTTTCCTTTTTATCCTAAGAGCTAAGATTAACCAAAAAAGTTTCAATCATTAAGTTGGTGTGAGTGGGTTTATGTTTTGAGAATACAATTTTGTTTGGTTTTAGAAATAAGATTTAAGGGGGCGGGGTGAAATACTAACACAAATGTGACCATGTGCTATTTTGATAAACTGGAAATAGCAAGTGGCTGTTGACTTATAAAAATTAAGTGAGTAGATTTGAACATTATTTAGGAGGTATAGAGCAGACCTTGTGGTTAATTTCTTGATTACAGAAGAGATAAGGGAGAAGAATAGGCTGGTGTATGTAGCTGGATGGATGCTGGTGGTATCTGCCACACTAGACACAGCTGAATGTGTTGGTGAAGATTGGAAGCTTTGTGTTCACTTGGCACGGTGCTGTGGCGTAGCAGGTAAAGCTGCCACCTGCAGCGCCTGCATCCCATATGGGTTCTGATTTGGGTCCTGGCTGCTTCACTTCTGATCCAGCTCTCTGCTATAGCCCGGGACAGTGAAAGATGGCCCAAGTCCTTAGGCCCCTGCACCATCGTGGGAGACCCATAAGAAGCTCCTGTTCAGCCTGGCCCAGCTCTGACTGTTTTGGTCATTTGGGGAGTGAACCAGCAGATGGAAGATTCTCTCTCTCTCTCTCTACCTCTCAAATAAATATTTTAAAAATATGCCATATCTTTAAGAAACCCAAGTGGATATTCCAAATAGTTGCTGCATTTACATAAATAAATGTAACTTTGGAACAGATCTGCTCTGGGATATAAATCTGTGAGTGACTGGTAAGGAGATAGAATTCTAGATGTATGTATGGCTAAAATGCCCTAGAGAAAAGTATGTGAGAGCAAATCTTTAGTTGCATGGAATCTCTTTGTTTGTGATCTTCAGCGTTTTATGCTAAGTCAAAAGAATAACACACCAGAACCTGAGACAGAATAACAGAGATCTAAGAGTTGAACTAAGAGTCTGTGTTTGTGAGAAGGGAGACAGGGATTTGTCAAAGAAATCTGGGGAAGATAATTCTCTCTTTTTTTTGTTTTTCATTTTTAAAATCTTTACCCAGATTCCATTTTTACTTAGCTTTCTTATTTATTTGGGAATATAATTCTTAGGAAAAGGAAACGAGTCAACAGTTTCATAAATTTTGAAGTCAAATCAATGAATATTGTGTGATAGTTCTTGATTTTTTGGTAACTTAAAACTTACTTGGATTAATCATCAGAGTTCATGGAAATGAATTTTGTGCTCAGTATATTGTCTGCTTCAACATTTGCTTATCATGGAAATTCTGTGTGTTGGATCTAAAGGGAATACTGAAGCATGCTTCTAGGGACCATTTGCTACACGAATTCTCACCTCTAATAAAGTCCTTAAACAGAGCTGAGAAAAATCCAACCGTATTCTGTTTTCCTCTCTTGCCTTTAAATAGCAGCTACTTGCAATTTCATTTACCTTGGGGAAGCAGATATTGGTGGTAGCCCGCCAGATCCCTTTGGTACACACCATTTCTGTACACTGCGTAGGACAGGAGTGTCAGAGAAATAATGCCACTCCTCAAAGCTGTTTTCTTTCTCTTTTAAAGATTTACTTTATTTATCTGAAAGATAGAGTTACAGAGAGAGAGAGAGAGATTTAAGGAGGGAGAGAAAGAAAGAGAGATCTCCCATCGGCTGGTTCATGCACCCAAATGGCTGTAACAGCCAGGGCTTGGCCAGGCCAAAGCCAGGAGCCAGGAGCTCCCTCCAGGTCTCCCATGTAAGTGCAGGGGTCCAAGGACTTAGGTCATCAGCTGCTGTTTTCCCAGGCACATTAGCAGGGAACTGGATGGGAAGTGGAGCAGCTGGGACTGGAAATGCCACATTGCAGGTGGCATCTTAAGTGGTTGTGCCGCAGCACTGGCCCCTCAAAGCATGTTTCAACCAAACATCAATGAGAATTGGAAAATATCTGATAAATACCCCTGTTCCTTGCCCCTCGAGTAAGTTAACCTTGAGGTGTGTCATAGTTCCACAGTGGTGTCACTTGCTTAAGAACACAGTCTTCATTTGCTTTTTTTACTTCCTTCCCTTCTCTTCTCACTTGCCAGGATTTGCGAAGGCAAATCCCCTACCCCCTTAAAAGGCACGATCCAGGATCTTTTTGTATGAAGGGCTCTTCCAAACATTCATGGGAAACTCAAATTATGAGCAAAGGATGCACGGATTTGAAAATTGTTCCTTGCACTAAAATAAACATTTGATTTAACATTTCTACAAGCCATTAAAGTATTCTTATATACATACAACATACAAAGAAAGAATTTATTGTAAGGAATTGTCCATGTGTATTTAGACGTTGGCAGATCCCAAGGTCTGCAAGTTAAGTTGGCAAACTGGAGATTCAAGACAGGCAATTTTAAAATTTTAGTGTAAGTTGTGGCATGATAGTAGAATTGACGGTGTATTTCCATTCTAAATGCCAGCAGGCTCAGCACTCAGGAAGATGCAAGAGTTTATATCCCAGTCCAAAGGCAGGAAGAAAGCTGATATTCCAGTTTGAAAGTCATCTGATAGGGCAGAATTCTTTCGGACACAAGAAAGGGTCAGACATCTCTTTCAGACTGCTAGTGATGGGATGAAGCCCCTGCATTGTGGAGGGCATTCTACTTTACTCAGACTACCAGTGGAAATATTAATCTTGTCCTAAAATACCCTCACAGAAACTCCCTGAATGATGTTTGACCAAGTAGCTGGGTCAAGGCGTGGTCTGCTTGATCCATAAAATTATCAACCATCCCAGACACTCAGATTACCCAAATTTCCTCACCCCTTTTTGCCCAGAAAATGAAGCTTTTTTTAAAAGATTTATTTTATTTATTTGAAAGTCAGAGTTACACAAAGAGGAGAGAGAGAGAGGGAGGGAGAGAGGGAAGGAGAGAGAGAGAAGTGTCTTCCATCTGTTGGTTCACTCCCCAGATGGCCACAACTGCCGGAGCTGCGCCAATCCGAAGCCAGGAGCCAAGAACCTCCCCTGGGTCTCCCACATGGGTGAGGGGCCCAAGTACTTGGGCCATCTTCTACTGCTTTCCCAGGCCACAGCAGAGAGCTGAATCGGAAGAGGAGCAGCTGGGACTAGAACCGGTGCCCATAGGGGATGCCGGCGCTTCAGGGCAGGGCTTTAACCCACTGTACCACAGCACCAGCCCCAAATGAAGCTTTTGTGATAATACATCAAAGGGAAAAGGAAATCTGTTATGTATGTATTTGGGTAAAGGTCTTACAAACACAGCCTTCAGTTTGAAAAGTACAATTCTGGTTCACCCCTGCTAATTAATATTTAGTTAATATTTGCCCTTCACTTTTAAAAATGCCCTGCATTAGACTAAATGATAGGATCATCCTCATCAATAACTGATTCCATAAACATGGTGATGACAATAGAAAAGTTAATAAAGTTTATTTAAATATTTTATTAAATATTTTTCTTCTACCAGTTAAAAATTATGAAAAATATGTGTCATATTTTTCAGATTATTTTTTCTTGAGTTATTTTACCCTACAATTATGTACAATGCTATATGTTGAACGCCTGTTTGTAAGCAGAATTTTATTTTTTCACATTAAACATATTTTTTAAAGGATTGAGAAAGAATGCATTGAAAAGCAGGAATAAATTTAAAGTATGATATAAGGTGTTCCACAGGATCATAGCTTACTCTATACATGACAAACTTAAATACCATCCTCAAATATCTAATCTGATTATCACTAAATTGATTGACACCTATTTAACCGACTTCAAAATCGGAGGGTGACTACAATGCCAGAAAAGCTCAGTTCTTCTGTTAATAAGAAGGGAAGGAGGCAAGTAATTGTGATGTTTGAAGAATTCAGAGCGTATTTATATATTTTAAAAATGGGGAGATAAGAGGAAAAGGCAATTCTATGCTGACTGTGGATCAGACAATGTTAGCACTGCCAAAGTCCCAGAATTGTGTGTTTATATTGTGCCCTTCTATAGCTTACTTTACATTTATTCTGTGAAATACATATCTTTGTATTGATTAAAGATATTTCATGGCATATGAGTTATAAATATAAATGTCTTAAAGTGTTCTTGATCCTCTTCCACCAGCAACCATTTTATTATTAAAAAGAAATAATTTTCTAATAATTATGCAGTAGCAGATAAGACAGTATGCTTTTTCGGAATATTATAAATGGCTCCCTGAAGTGATTTGCTAACTGTACTTTAGAACAAGCAGTGTTGCTCAGTGCAGCATTACTGCATTTTCAAAAAAATTCTGCATACTGCTTGGGAGACAGCAATTGATCTTGAGTTCATTGTGGGTTCCTTATTGTGAGTCTCTGGTATCCCTGCAACAATGAAAGTGTTGTTATTCAAATGCACATAAATGCATTCAGTCCATAATAATAGTATTCATAGCCATCTATAAATAGTTGAAGAAACAATTGTGTGAAATGCTTGATATTCATCTGAACCGCTTTTTGCAATCTCACTTGTAAATTCAGATTTCAGGAAGAATACAACAGTTCTGTTCATAAGATATTCAGATTTTTTTTTTTTTTGCTAGCTTTGCATGGACAGAGTGGTAGCTCTTAAAATTATACACCTTATTTCATCGAATCTAAGAAACTCCTTATAAACATATTTATTTTTAAGAAATATATAGGAAATTCAAAACATAGTGGTGATGCAAAGCTATTAAACATAGAGCTTTATATTATTTATGTTGAATGACTTTTCTTAATCTCCCTGTGTTTCCAGATACACCGTCAGTTAAGATTATACCATCCACGCCTTTTCCACAAGAAGGACAGCCTTTAATTTTGACTTGTGAATCCAAAGGAAAACCACTGTAAGTGATTTAATGAGCAATAAAGTTTTTCACTGTTACTTCTCTCATCCTTTGATTTCAGGCTTTTGCTGTAGAAATCTGCTGTTTTGGTCTTTTGCTGGGTGGGCAAAATGGTCTCTAGAACAGAAAACCCCTGAACCTTGTCTTCATTAAATGTCTGTGGAAGATTGGTTTTCACTTTGTCATCCAGGGAAGTTTCTGGGAAGGTTTCCAACTGTGATTTTTTTGTTACTTTTTTTCTCTCCAGTAAGATATTTCAACCTAAAAGGGGGAGGGGGTAGGATTAATCAGGCATTATTTATATCAACAGACAGATAACAGGTATGCATTGCTGAACTTAGTTCTCCCATGCAAAACTTTGAAAATCTGCCAAATATGCCCAAGTTTTAAGTTGCATGGGGAATCATTTTCATAATAAGAGAAATCAAATCTGCATTTCTTATGGAATACCAAATGAGACATAATTCGGGAATGTGATGTGCCTGAAAGTAATGGGAATGAAATGGGTCACAAGTTCAATGCTTTTCCTTACAAAGTGATTCCTTACTAGGATATATGCACAGTAATATCATGCTTATAAACAGCTGATAGATTATTTTATGCAAATTTTAAATATGGATATTCAAATATGGATAATATTTGGAAATTATATGATCATTCTAATATAGTAACTCCCCAGACCTAACTTTCTGTAGTTTACCTGATCTTTAAAAAACTTCCAATTGATTTGCATTCTGTTAAAATTTTAATAAGAGGAATTTAATTGTCCTCTGTATTATGATAACTTCTGTGAAAATCAGGTTAAATTACTAAAATTTTGCTTCCAATCATATTTATGTTATTTAAGTGCAGATTTCACCTAATTCCATGAGAAATTCTTTTAAAGGAATTGTAAGATATGTTAACATCCTTATTCATTTGACATTATCTTTTTGTACTTTCTTTATCATAATGTTGATATTAAACTTAATTATTTTCTGCAAATGCTAGTATGTTGATTAAAGAGCATTTGTAAGTCAATCTATTACTTCTCTTCAATATTTTTTTTAGAAGTTATTTATTTGAAAGGCAGAGTTACAGAGGTAGGGGCAGAGAGGGACAAGGGGGGGGGATAGAGAGAGAGAGAGAGAGAGGTCTTCCATCTGCTGGTTCACTCCCCAAATGGCTGCAACAGCTGGAGCTGGGCAGATCCAAAGCCAGTGGCCTGGAGTTTCTTCTGGGTCTCTCACGGGGGTGCAGGGGCCCAATCACTTGGGCCATCTTCTACTGCCTTCCCAGGCCATAGCATAGAGCTGGATTGGAAGAAGAGTGTACAGGACTTGAACTGGCGCCTGAACGGAATGCCGGCACTGCAGGCAGCAGCTTTACTTGATAGGCCACAGCACCAGCCCCATATTTCTCTTCAATCTTGTAAGAAAAGTTTGGAGTCACTTTGGCCTCTAAAAGAAATACATTCTTTTTAATGGTAGCTTTACTATATATAGCCTTCTCAATTCACTTTCATAGTTCTTACCTTCTGAGAAGCTCAAATTGCTTATAGAAAACATTTTTCTACTGCAGTATGTTATTTATATGTGACAAGTGCATTTTAGGATTATAGCTTCAAGAAGAGCTTTTGGCTGCAAGTTCAGTATTTAACTAAGGAAGAAGTATAATTGACTCTGCTCAGCTATAGGCATACTTAAATCTTAATTTCTTTGAATTCAATATATCTAATATCATCACTCTTTTGTTAACTTTCCCCTCCATCTCAACACCTATATTTCATCCTATTATTTTCCAAATATGTAATTGTAATTACCTCCTTTCTCTCTTCATTTGCTACTGCTTTGCCTTGTAACCACAGAGGTCCAAATATGGTCATGTGAAGGCATATGATCAGAATTAGAACATAGCAAACTATTTTTATTTTTATACTTCTCCCTTTCATATATATCCAAAAATGTGTTTGTGTAAATGTATGCGATTAAATGAAGGGAAGGTGGAAGGCATGAGGTATGGAACACTTGAACATAAATATCTGTCTGCTCAAACAGCACCCAGTGGCTATCAGTGACCTGCTACTTGATTCCACGTTGATTCCATGTCGCCCCTTCTAGAGACATCATTTTATTTAGGGGAATAATTAAATTTTTGAGGTTTAAGTAATTAAATACTTAAATAGTTCATGTCAGTTAGCTCAGATATAGTTGAATAGACATGCCTTATTGTGGGTCTCTGAGTTTCAGATACCCAGGAAAATGCTTGCACGAACAATGAAATATACAAAATTTCTTATTTAGTTTAGTTATGATTACAATGGTGTGGGAAGTTTAGGAAACAAAAAATACCACCTATATCAGAATATCCTAATCAATATCATTTTGCAAACAGAGAAAGGAAATAAGAAAGGGTTACCCATTTTACAGAAGAGAAAACTAAGGGTCAAAGATGTTAGCCAAATTTTCTTATGCATCCAGATTTTAAATGAGTGAATGAGCTTTGTATCAAAGTTACTCTTTCAGTTATTGGTTGCTATTTAGCTGCCGAATCTAAATTGCCACTTGTGGTAGCTGGGATAGTTTGTGAAAATCTGAAATGGGTCTGACAATAATTTTGAACACTGAAGTTGAATGTATGGATGCTTTACATTTAATAATTGGCTAGAATTGCAATATATTTTATTGTTGCTATCTTTAACCAGACTTTCCTCTATATACTCCTTTTGACACTTGCCTGATTTCTGTCAAACTGACCGTTTCTAGCATGAGTGTGTCGCCATTAACACTCCCACCATAATTAATACAGTATCTTTTGCAAAATGGTCATTATATTCTGTCTTGACTTGTATAGATCTCACTATTTTATTATTTATACTATGTTCTGCAATTAAATGTGGATTAACTTATTCACTTGTCTTATATCACATTCCTCCTGTGCTTGCCAGGCCATTGACATTAAGGTCATAGTCAACTTCTTTGATTGTTCCTTCTTTTAGTGCACCGCTTTTTTATCTTTATTTTTTAAAAATCCATTTCTTTATTTGAAAGTCGGAGATACAGAGAAAGAGAGAGACAGGAGAGAAAATTTTCCATCCGTCTGTTCTCTCTCCAGATCGTCACACTGTCCAAGGCAGAGCCAGGTTGAAGCCAGGAGCCAGGAGCTTCAACTGAGTCTCTCATGTAGGTCACAAGAGCCCAAACACTTGGGTCCTCTCCCAATGCTTTTCCCAGACCATTTGCAGGGAACTAGATTGGAAGTGGAGCAGTTGAGACATCAACTGGCACTCACGTGGGATGTTAATATCACAGGCAGCAGTTTTACCTGCTCTGCCACAACGCTGGCCCCTCTGCTTTCTTTTAGTCCCTCATAACCTTTTTGAAACCAGCTCCTCTGCATTTTCTAACTATCTTTTCCATTAGATGAGTCATTAACCTCTTGAAAGGCTAACTTGTAGCCTCTCTGTAGTTTATCTTGTGTTTCCAACAGTGCCAGATGAGGCGGGCAGATCGTAAGAAACGAAAGGCATAACAGAAGACACAAGGAAAGACTGAAAAGGAATCATTGGATTTTCCCAGAAGGAAATCTTACTGATTATAAAGAAAATAGTCTCATTAGAGCAAAGAGAACAGAAGGCAAATTGAAATGGATGGATCAGGGGGTTTGTAGGTGTTGGGGAAGTCAAGATAGTGGGGAGACCACCCATTTCAGAAAGTGAACCGTGGGCAGTAAATGAGGAGTGAGAAAAAAATATGTTAAACAGAAATTTGGAAACAAACATAGTAATTAAAAATATAATTGGGAGGCTATCCATATTTTAAAATAAGATTGAAAGAGCAGGAGTGAGATTGAAGTCTGTAATATCACATTAGGCAGGTGAGAATTGATCACGGTCAAAGTTCCACTCCATTACCTTGCAGCTATTGCACCTGATTCCCCATTTAGCTGTCTTGGCACCAGTGAGAAGCAAACTACACCTTAACTTTTGGTTCCCAAAGCACTTAATTTCTATTATCTTTACCCTTTACCTGAGATGCCTCTAATGAGCAGCTGAGAATCATAAATAGGAAATTGATATGATTCGTTTGACTCTTACAACTGACTTACGAGTACCTTTAATCCATCATCAAACCTTCATTTTTTTCTTAAGTATTTCAATATGCAGTTTCTTGAAGAGTACGCTATTCATGTTCATTAGGTTTATTGGTGGCAGACAAAATAACACCACTATCTTTTGTGTAAATCATAAAATGACAGCATGGCTCAAGTTGTCTTGAGACTCGTGTTCCTAGCCTGCCCTCCTGTATGCTAATGTTGTTTTCCTTGTTCTAAATGTGAGAGCCCCAGAGCCTGTTTATGAACAATCATGCTTTATTTGACTGCTTTGGACAGAAGCCTTTTGCCATTTTCCTGGGGAACAGCTGCATAACTTGGGCCAGGACCAAATTGTTCCACTTGACACTACTATAGAGGCATTCTATTCTTTCCTTAAAAGAGAGATTACTGTACATGTCTGTCTATTGTTTTAATTTTAGTTTAAAGTGAGGACCAAGCTAATGCCAGCCACTTTTCTTTCAAGTCCCCAGAGTTTTGCAGCCCTCTTCTTTCTTTGGCTGAATTCCCAGACAGCTTTCAGGCAGCAGCAGTCTCCGTTTATAAAAGTAGAGGGAGAAAGAAGAAAAAGAAATAAAAAACAAAAACCAAGCTTTTATATTACATTAAAGTCATGACCTTAAATGTGGTGGCATTGTCCCACACATGCGCTAAGTTACGAGTCACCATTCATTATTAAAATGCTTAACTCTGTCAGTTTACTTCTAGAGATCAATGGTACATTTCCAGTGAAATAAATGTGTATTTGGCATGTATTCTATAAAGAAAATAATTATAGGTATTGATAGATTTTTCTGTGTATCCAGCACAATGTTTATGTTGTACTTACTATTTCACCTTCTGGTAGCCTCCATTTTTCTTTTGTTCTTGGCATAAATCTAGTATGCATAATTGCACAGCACAGAACA